TTTGTCAGCAAAATTAATCGATTTAATGAGTATACAAAATTTGTAATATAAACACTTAATGTAGTGTATATGTGTGAGATATGTTTATTTTTTTTTTTTATAGGAGATTAATATTCAAATTATATTATACAATTTCACATAAACTATATAAATTGTCTATTTAATCGAAATTGCTTTCAAACGCTAGGAATACGAATTGCACCACTCATGTTTATATTGTGACGTCACATATATAGCGACCTCTTAGGAGCTATAAACATTTTTCTTTATAATCTTTATTATAAGGTATAAGGTAAACAAATTCAAATTTATTTTATTAATAGTATTTTATTATTAGTATATTATAGTTTGTGATATGTATATTAATACACTGATTAATGCCATATGAGTGTGTTAAAAATGTCATATCACTAAAATTGCGACTTAATTTTATTTTTCAAGCCGATGATGACATCTTTGAGAATTCTAGTAAATGTAAAAACAAAAAATAAATTTTTTTATTGCACACTTCAAAAATCTTCAACTACCTTACAGAATCAAAGACCAGAGTTGAACTCTGTTAATTTTAAAGAGCGGATTAATTATGTTTTCGTAACACAAGGTGAGGATTGTCTTGTCAGCCGGGAAAGACATGACTACTAATTTTTTTTATAGCAAACGGATATTGTTAATTAACTACCTTGAAAAAAGCAGCACAATGACTGGAAGATACTATAGGTATGTTCACGTACTATCACTCTGATAGTACGGTGTTTGTCTGTTAAAACTGTGGTGCACAGTGTCTATATTCAAATGCTACTCGTATAGAGGTTTGGACCAAAAACACTCTTAAGCCTTTAAAAACTAATATAATTAAAAAATTTTGTGTTAGGGAAAAAGCACTGGCTTTCTACATGATGCCTAAAGAAAAGCTCAATTTAATCTGGTATTGCTAAGGACCAATAACACCTACTAAATTAACCTAACTTAATCTTAACTTAATATACCAAAAAAGAAACATTCTCATTTCCCAAGGAATAGGGTTTGTTTGACAATGCTAACACAATGCTCCGGGTGACACTCAGACAGGAGTTATGATGCAATGCGATTTTTTAGAGTTCAGTGAATTAATTTAATTGTTAATTTAAAAAAAATATATGTCAATGTTAGCCAGTCTCATGGAAAATGAACTTACTTCAGTTCTAAGAAATAGGTGAGTTGTGATAAGACAACATTAAAATTGTAATAAAAAGTATTGGAATCTGATTGTTATCACAACGGTAAAATTGTGGTTAAATAAGTTGGAACCTCGTAGTAAACACGACAAAAAAAATATTGGAAAACTTGGAATTGTATATACGAGGAATGTTTGATAAATCAGTGATATATGAAATAACAAATAAAAATTTTTTTTAGTAATGACTAGTGTAATTATGTTATTATCATTAATTTATAGTAAAAATCTGGGATTTAATGTATTTTTAACAATCATATTGTAGTTGCTATATAAAATCTATAAACCTGCATCTAAAAACATTTGAATCTAAAAATGCTTAAAATTATTATTTATGGTACTTACCTTAATGACAGATGTGAATGCTTCCGTCGGGGTCTTTCAGCTAAACCTAAAAATTCTAATATTTCATATGAAACATGAATTTTGTCATCCTCATTCAAAGTACGTTGCATCACTGTTTGATCGAGTCCATTGTCGATGTAGATACCCGATTGACTCGCACTTACTAATATATTTTTTATACTTAAATTACTTAAAAGTATTACTAAAATCGGTAATAAAATTAATCTCTTCCATTGGAGCATCATTTTGAACCGATTATGATGGCGCCACAGTTTATTAGTCAATATTTTGCACCACATATTATTCACTCCTGTGTTACGTAGAACGAACTCAAGATTTTTCTTGCTTTTCAACAAATCGTGTATGTTAAAGTTTTCATCTTAACACAACGAACTCAACTGATGTATTCGCACGGAAAAACTACGGAAAATATCAAATCAAATTTCGAACGCAATAAATTAAATGTTTAAGTGTTTTTATTTTTGTTAATTTTACGTTGAAATTATTGTTTACATTTAAAACAAATTATAAAAGGTGCATTAAATCCCAACAGACATTTGGCAGAATTTTTTTTTTCATTTTTTCAAATAAATTTTCTAAAAAGTGAGATACAATATTTTTAAGCTTTGAGTTTATAAATAGCATTCAACAAATTCTACATCTGTTGAATTTCTAGTTCAGCTTAGAATAAATTAAGAAACTAAACTTTGTAACCACTTCATGGCACATACAAGATACAAGATACCGAGATACAAGTATGTATAAGAAATATTTGCAAGTATGAAAAAAAAAACAAATATGTAAAGTATGGATTAAAAATAAAATACATTGAGTGTTCCTTTACTATAAAACTTTTTTAAAATAAATAAACTAAATAGTATCTTAAATCACTCGGCCATATCTCTAGCATTAGCATTGACCAGATTCTTGCCTTTATAAATGCCTCTGGCTGGTTCTAGCTTGACCTACTCTCTACCACCCACTATAACGAGGTTTTATGAATTCAAAACGGCTTGTTTTAGCTAATTGAGAAGGACTCGTTCCTACCTCCATCACAACTAACTAGAACCTTAAATAGTGGTCTAATAATTTTAGTAAAGCATAACGAGTATTTAAATAAAATAGAGTTTTTGATTATCTCAGTTAATTTTTTAGTTATGTAGAAGTATGCTTCAGATTAATATAATAATAACAGTGCAACAGATAGTGGAATAGAGGAAACCAATACAGTCACATCCAATTACCCACATATCTACCCAGGAGTATGCAAAATAAAATTAAAGTCTACTTATTCATCTGATCATATCACGTTGGCATTCTTAGTTAAGTTTTTTCATTTGATAAAATAAAATATTTACAAATAAAACAGGTTTCATTTATCTGATTATGTACATATAAAAAAATATAAATATAAATATAACTGAGAATAAAAAAAAAATTATTATCAAATGTGCCGCTACTTCAATAGACAAAATTTCATAATTCTTGCCAATAGATTAACATTATTTGCTACAAGATATTTTGGTTTATAATAGAATAAAGTAATTAATTTAGGTCAGAGAGATTTTATCTGTTTGTAGAATAATAATTTTCTTGTTAATTGTCTGTGGGATTTTATTCCATAGAAAACTCGCAATAATTCTTAACTGCACTATAATTTCACAATAAGTAATTTTTATTCAATGGAAATTAAAGATCAGTTTGTCTTATCATAGAAGAAAGTATTGTATGCCTTTGTGGTTTCATATTTTGTATTTCGACAGAGAGATTTCCAAAAAAAGTTTATATATAATTTAGAATTATAACTTATCTTAATACACAGTCGTGACTAGATATTTTAAATAATTATGAAACAATGTCTGCTTCCACTATCGAAAAGTTTTCAGTTTTAAGTTAATATAAAAATACACTGAGAAAGCATTTTTAATACGATTTATGTTTAATTTTATTTAAAAAATATATGTGTCTAACTCCTAACATTTATTTTTTTGAAAATAATCCCTTTGAATTCTTTGAATTTTTTATTAAAGTTTTCTTTATTTGCATTCATACGCTTCGTCACACTCCATCGATCCAGTAGATAATAAATCGTATTGCTTGTTACGTGTCAATATACTTTGAGAAATATTGTGGACCTACATTTTAAGTACATTGTTCCACGACTGCACTCTTAACGTCAATTTTTTTTAAAATAATCTGTGTGTATTATTCGGAATCTTTATTAAACTTTTATTGTTGGATCTATTCTCTACGTCACAATCATATTTCTAGAACCAGTAGACAATTGATGATATTGTGTATCACGTATCAATATACTTTGAGAAATATTGTGGACCCATAAATATTGTTTTAGGATTGAACTCTTGACGTCAATTTTTTTGAAAATAAACTGTATCAATTCTTCGGATTTTTTATTAGGGTTTTCTTTGTTGGATTTATTTAACACAACTAGTAAATCCATGGATTCCATAATATCAACAAGTATTTTTATTTAATTAGGTAAGTGAAAGTGACGGTAATAAAGAATTAATTACGTACGAACAATATAAATATAATATAAATATAGAATATAATATTATCTATATTATAAGTATATATAATAAAAGATATATAAAAAGATAAATAATAAGTAGATAATGGAAGAAAGAAGGCTTGAAACTACCTATGAAAGTAAAGATTTAGTTGAAAGGTGTTTAACGGTTTGACTCTTTAAGTTGAAAATTTCACGACTATGTCTACCATCAAGGGTTGACCGAGTCATGACTGCATATACCTATACTTTGTACTCAAAACAAAAATGGAATATAGATATCAATTTTTATAAAAATACAATATAATCAATAGCTTTGAATTTTTAAATAGATATTTAAATTGAATTATTATTTTTGAATTATTATTTATATAATTACAATCAAACTTCCATAACTCGAACTTTTATAACTCTAATTTTCTATAACTCAAACTAAATAGAGTATGACAGGGCTTAGAGAGCAAGTTACATAAAATTCTTTAATTCAAATTCTCCATAAATGGTACTTCGAGTTATGGAAGTTTGACTGTAATCATATTAATTAATATATTCATATTAGGAGTTAATACTCCGAAGAAAGTCACAGTGCATAGGATGGATAGATTGTGTCTACAAAATGCTAAGTTAGAGAATATGAAAAAGATATTGAAATCATATATGAGAGTGACCGACCAACACTGTGTTGTGATAACGTGAAAAATATCCTAAAAACGATACCCAAACAACTACAGCTGATATTGATTGTGATATTTAAACAATTTCATAACAATAATTATGTTCTATTGCAATATTAGATGGCTCTTATTTTGATTAGACATACTTATTATTAGAAAAACATACTTGTTTTAATGAAAGACAATATATTGTTATACCAAACTACTTATTTACTATTATATGTTGGCTAACGTACACCTCCGTGATACGCTATTAATCACTTTGATTAAATAAAGTTCTTTTAAATGTTTCTTTATGATCATTAAATTCTTTAAGAGAGGCTTCTGAGACCAGTGCGTTGAAATTAAAATCTTATTTTATCACAGTAATATATTCGTCTACTTTCCAAAGAGTAAATACATTTTGAATAATCTGCAAATCTTATTAAAAATTGTATATAACAAATAAATCAGAAAATAATTTATGTTGTAGTACTATCATTGAGAAAAAGGAAGAAAAGAACTGATGTCAGTTAGACAAAAACCTATGATTTTGCTACATGTTGCATGATCAGTAATATCTGTTAGAATCCTTGGGTTAACTATAGAATATATGAAGAATATGCATAAAAACAATAAACCCTATAGATTATATTTCATTTATGCCCTGGTTTCGAGAGAACAAGAATAAAATCTTTGAAAAGTTAGCAACATTTCGGAAAAATGCTATATTTGAAATAATTCATAATTTTTATAGTCTTTTAATCATTCTGTAATAGGCTAACATGCAACTATCATAGCATTAATTCTAAAGAAAATAAAAAAGCAGTGACCTCAGGGCACATTGATTTTTTAGGAAGAATTTTCGAAGAACAACAAAAAAATGTTCTTGACTTATAGCTAAGTTTCCGATAGAATCTATGCGAACTCTTTGGGCAAACTATTATTCTGATTGCTAGATACCTGATAGAATTCATGCGATGATAAATTGTTATATTGACATCTACTTCTATATATTTTTTGATATTTAGTACCAGAAAAACTTGGAAAATACGTAGTATGTTATATACGTATATAACAAAAGAAGAATATTGTATTACGTATGTATTCATATTATTTGCTAATTCATTAGGTTTATTTGAATAGAATTTTTCGTTTACATAAGTCGAGGATATTATAGCCTTTTAACACTAGACAATGTACCTTAAAATGGTTTAGTGTTCGATTAATTATTTTCTACTAGATCTATTCTTTAATTTTCTTTTCATTACCAATATTAAATCTATATCTATAAGCCTGACTAACATCCCAAATATAATTCTTAGAAGAATAATCTGCTTTATCAAAGGCTCAGCGTGATCTCTAGAACAAAGTCTTAAGGCTTATATCCAGGTGTCTTAATAAAAGTGGCTTATGTGCTACTGGGAGTGCAAAAAGAACTCTGTCGCTGCCAAAATTTAATAGTAAAAGAATTAAGGAATTTGTGCACCTTCACTGCTATACGTTAGTCTAACTGAAACTAGATTATATATATATATATTTAAATATCTCTGGTTAGATCTTTGTTTCGGGAAGAGTTATCATAAGTTATCATAAGTAATTTAGAAAGAATTTTTATTGTTTATGTTGAAGCTATTTGAGCCAGTGCACTTGAGCACTTTTACTCTTTATTAACTCGAGGTATTTTCAAAAAATTCTTCTTTACGTCTTGACTGGATTAATGTTTATCACTTCATCAGACTAAGCAATAATTGACCTTATATCATAAGGTCAATTATTTATTTGATTATGTATTTAATAATATTTGTTGTAATTAATTTTTGTTGTCTTTTTATTTCTGTTTGAGTCCTTTTAATTTTTATATTTCTAAATATAGTAGGAATGAATTGATATTGAATATATTGCACATATATTTAAATATATTTCTTTGAATAAATTTTTGAGGGGACTTCAACCTCTCAAGTTCGCCTGACTACATGCCTGTATATAAGTATATTTATTATTATAGTATACAAAAATAAGTTATTTTTTAGCATAATGTCTACTTCTGAATCGATGTAAAATTTCGCTGCTGATCAGTGGTCTATATAAGTGGGGGTTTTGGGGTTTAAACCCTCTCTAAAATATTTTGGACCATTTTATACTGGATATTAATGATTTTTTTAGGTAAATTTTTTCATAATCATATTTTTTCAGTGTTCGAAACCGAGTCTAGATTTAAAAGATATATAGCGATACCAGCAGATTAGAATCTTTCAAGCCAGTTAATGTTAATAAAGTTTACTTAAGATATATGTGTAATAATTGAATTTTAAAAGATAGTTCACTTTAATATCAGAAAGTAAGTTCTGCCTCGCAATAGTAATAACGCTAAAAAATGTTAGCCAAAAACTAACGAGTTGTTTAGGAGTTTCTTTGGTGTTATATTCCATTTATTTTCTGCATTCGTACTGCGGGTGATATATAACAAATTCTATTAGGTTTGTTTGTATATTATTAACTAAAAATTTCAATCAATAACTCGGATAGTCATCTGCTTATAATACATATAAATACTGAATAGTTTTCAAGACCCCCTTTCTTTTACCCCTTTAAAAGAGTCTCTGTATACCGCTGCTGCCACTGTTCACCGAATATCTTAGTTGTTTAACAACTAAAAAGTTATTGTACGAAAAAGAATTTCGTTTGCCAGACAACACGCGCGCTTTTAATATTTACTTCAGTATACTTCCCGAGTACTTTATAATCTATAATATATGGCACATGCAACAAGATCGTGTTGTATAATTTAATTAATTGATATACACAGAATTGAAATGTAAACAATGGAAAAGTGGCGAAAGTAATGGTATATGGTATAACAAAATCTTTATATACAATTATATATATCCACAAAACTATAAGTATGTGAGTAGTTCAATGTAGCCTCTTCGATGTTTGAGCTACATATATTATACGGATGCGGCTGTCGATGATTTCCATGAAGCTGCTTTTGTTTATTGCTGCTTTTGTTGAGCAAAAACGCAATACTTCTGATTAATTTTACAATAAAAATAATTAAAATAATAATACTAATAAGAATAATAGGCTTTTACGTTTTTTACTTTATATTTCATTAGTATTCCGCGATGATATTTCGCTTTCAAATAGGAAAGCTGTACGTAGTTGTATTTCAATGGGAGTGCCTTCGAGGAGAATTGAATTTCTTTATGAGTATTTCACACAAATTTATTTAACACAAAAGCCACACAAGCAACCATTTTTCCATTTTTCCATAAAACATTTTTTATGTTTTAATTATTATTAATAATCTTTTATTGCATAATTAGAGTAATAAAGTTTATTTCATGCACTTAATACACAAACTAATTCCATGAATCGCACGATTTATAATTTTTTGAAAAGAATTCTTTAAGAAAAAAACATTTGCCTAATGTCGATAAATGAGCGAACCGAAAAAGACGTCCGTTAACGATAGTGCATTGCGCAGAGGTTCAGAAATAACTGATGAGAGACTTTAAAAATTGTGTGTAAATAAAAAACAAGCTAAACTAAACTAA